AGGAACCCCAGGGGTGAGATTAATGTGCCTATTAGGAAAGTGAAGGCAATGCCATGACTGTTTTTCAGCTGTGAGAGGTTGTACTGGGAATGTCGGCTGATATAAAAGAACTCTGATTTTGTGTATTTATAACCTGTAAAACTAGTAAATAATGGGCTTTACTGGTTAGTCACAGCTTGGAGGGCCTTGCTGCTTTCCTCCCAGCACTGCTGTAAATATAAAATCTGATTTCTCTAAAACTTGTCAGAGCAGCTGGCAAATGGAGCTTCCAGGAGCTTCGATTAATTAACATGTAGAAACTGTGTCCACAGGCGTCCTCACTGAAGCTCCAGCAGTCATTTTCTGTAACTAAGTGGCTCTTTCTCCTGCTGGAGCTGCGAACATACGAAAGCCACGCCGCTAATTGAACACCGGCATGTCGGAGCATGTTTCAGCTTCATGCTGCAGTCAGCTGCTCCAGGGACAGGGCCCCCTTCATCACCTCCTCCTCGTCTCTGAGCCCCAGCCTCCTCACACCTCCTCTAGTCCTCAGATAGTTACCTACTGTCTCCTCTGATTGGCCTCTCCAACACCTCAGTCAGCATCGTGAATCCATCTTCGGGCTCGCCTGCCCGGGCCTGCTGCACTCCGAACGTGAGGAACATCTCCAGGTCTGCTTTTTTACAAAATCAGCTTCAGAGATTTGTGGGCTCATTCCGCCGTTCCATGAAGATCAGTGTGTGTGTTGTTTTTTTTTTTTTTCTCCCCCAGTCAACAAAAAGCTCAGAATTTAATTTTATCTGTGGACTTGAACATTTTATACTTTTTCTTTCTTTTGAAGTTTCTGGTTTTAATTTCACTGAGACTAACATGTACAGACTGTTTTACATCAGTTTAAAAACAAGTTTATTTGCTTCATTAAATTAAAGTTAGTTTTGTATCGCTATCAAGGCCTCACTTTGCCTGATCTGGAACCTGCTAACATCAACCAGTTCATTAAGCACCCCTAAACGTACTGTTTGGTTAAATAGAACCTCTTTTTTACCTGTTTGTAACACTTTTAGAACCTAAAGGTATCGGTTATGTTAAGATACTTTAAATGTCACTACTAGTATAGAGTCATTTAATCATGGCCATTGAAACAGTCACAGCTGTATAACTTCATACATTGTAAACCAGCTGCATTTGTCCGCGTGAGAAATTAAAGCCAGCATCACTAGAGCAGCGCTACCTCGTGCATCTCACCTTTAAACCACCAACTTTAACATCATTGTTGTCACCGGGTACCCGATAACCATGACAACGTTAAATCAGTCTTATTTTAGCATGACCAGCATTTATTCAGTGATGATTCAGGCATCGTGTTGCCCTCTGGGTTATTTGTGATTTTGGGTTTTGGACTGAACTGGACAGCAGGGCGCTGGGAAGAAGACGATAAGGCAGCGGGACAGGTGGCCATCATTTCCCACGAGGCTTTGCGGCGGCGGCTTTGAGAGATGAAGCCTGTCACAGTTAGCCAAACAGCGCTAATGCTCTCCCCAGAAAGCCTCCAAACGCTAACAGGAAAGCAGAGCCGGCTGTGTTTGTGTGCATTTTGAACAGATGCTCTGGCTGTAAATATGGGGGGTGAGGAGGAGGGGAGGAGGGGGTGCCATTTGTTTTCATTTTGTTGCATTCGGGGGGAGGAGGGAAGAAAACAGCCATTCAGATTCAGCGGGTCTTCTGAATGAGCCTGCAAACCAAATATTAGTGTGTGAGCACACACACACACACACACACACACACACACACACACACACACACACACACACACACACACAGCATTTTCATAGTATTTTGTTTTTTGGCCTTTCATGGAGAAACTGCAGCTTTGCAGTTTGTGCTGCTTGTTCATATTTTTGGGGGATGGTCTCGATCGTGTTTCTGAGCATCTCCTGCGCTGGATGAAGCTCTTATCTTTTTAAAGTGCTGCAGTTCTTTCTCCCTTGGTTTTTAGAGCAGTCTCTTCAGCTTTTTATGCGCTCTTCATATGTTTATGTGTCAAGTTTGTAAAAACTCTCAGTGTATCTACAGCCAGTGGGCTCACAGTGTCCTGGCGTTCTCAGCTGACTTCATGTGGATATGAAGCTGAGGATCAAGAACACAGCAGCAGATTAATTATTGACCCCCTGCTGTGGATGAGGTCAGAGGTTCTCTGTGCTGAAGTTTCCATTTTCAGCGCCATGTGATGGTGTTTGTCTCTGCCGTTCAGGACCCTCAACATAGACCCTCAACCTCTGTCTCCTTGTCCTAATGTGTTCATTTTAGCCTAACCACAGCTCTGTAGCTAGCCACCAGGTAGCACACTATTATAAGACAGCAAGCCTGACTTCACCAGCCCTCCAAACAACACTGCTGTTTAGTTTTTTACGCTTTGTTTTCTTCCAAAGTTACTCCACAGCGGTGTGTTTTAGAAATACTATTGTCAGAAGTATCTCTGCAGGTAAACGTCAGTTCACACAGGACCTTGTGAACACCCTGAGATGATGGACAATATGAAAAATATAACACAAGTGAACCATCCGTGTCTGGTTTTGTTGCAGATAATGTGTGGTTATCTCTGGTGTTTGTGGGCGCGCCATGTTTTGAATGAACTAGACTGTCTTGATGCATAATAAAGATGGGTGAAGCCACCATGAAGTCACCTTTGCAGCTTTAATAGGAGAGCCAGCGTTCAGCATGTACGCTGATGATACTGTTCTGTATATGGAAAATAATAACCATTGTGACATCACACATTGACTTTTGGACTCAACATTCAAAGGTCCACCTGCCACTCAAATAGGCCACGCCCCTTATAAGGCAAACTTTAAGCCATAGTAGAATTGAAACAGGTGTGGTATGAAACAGTTGTGAAGGGTACAGTTATCGATAAAGGATAAACCACTTTCTTTATCAGGCTGTAAACATGTTTAAGTTTTAACATGGGAGTCTATGGGGACTGACTTACTGTTGGAGCCTCTGCTGGACGTCAGAGGAGGTGCAATTTGTGGTACCAGCTGATCAAACCTGCTCTCTGCTCTTTGTGCCTCTGACAAGTCAACAGAGGAAAGCATTTTAGGTGGTGTAGCATTAACCCCAGTAACAGTGGAGATCAAGCAGAAGCTCCGTCCTCTTGCTCTGCGCTAGTGCTGCTGTGGTGGTCAGGGTCGCCCTTGGCGACCACCCCTCTGCAGACTGAGTCTGGCTTCAGACGCAGCAGCAGTGAATGAGTTTGCGTTGTAAAGTGTAAACGAGGCAGACGTGGTGGGTCGTTGGGCTGTGCAGTGCGGTACTCTCTCTCTCTCTCTGACGTCCTCGCTGCAGCTGATTTGGAAACTATCAGCGCTCGGCTTGTAAATTTCCCCAGTGTGAAAAGCAATGCATACAGAATGAATCCGCCTCTATTTATCTATCTGACTATCCTCACACGCCTGTACACGCTCGCCGCGCGGCAGCCTAACGCCGGCCTACTGCGGGGAGGTAAAGAAATAAATAAAGCCTGTGCGCAGCTTCAGTTTTTCCGCTCGGCTCCCCAGACGTTTCTACACCTATCCGTTAGATTACAGATGACAAATAGACCCAGATCCTCCTCTGCCGACTGCGTCGGCCCAGCTGTGACGGCATTTCGTCCTCCTGAGGTTTCACCGGCGGCTGTTAGTGTTTGTTAAAGAGCGGGGCGGGTGAGGAGGGAGGAAGTTTGCAGCAGAGACACCAAAACCAGCCGCCGATAAATCATTTTGTTCCTCGATTAACCTCGAGGACCTCACTCTGCAGCTACTGCATGTTATTACAAGTGTTTTCCAGCTGAGTGCGTCTTCACTGATTTATGCAATATTTCATTTACAGTTTCTGAGTCGGCGCTCTGCAGCATCTCAGTTTGTGTGCAGGGACAAATCTCAGTGGAGAAAAAAATCACTTATTTAAACTGATTTCTTTTCTGTTTGAAAAATGTCTGTGAGTCCTTTTCATCGACCGAATATTTGTGTTTGTGAGACCCTCATCTATCAGCTCGTGTAGGTTTCTCTGACTCTGAGTCTGAGGTGAAGCTTCAGGCGTGGTCCATCAGCACATGTCAGTCACATCGAGTAGAAACATGACGGTTCAGCCTGCAGGTGGGGGGCAGGCTGACGTAACATGGACTCATGTATTGTATTCAAGATCAAATCTGCTCCTTTATTTGCTTGTCTCTTTCATTTCCTGGGCTGTGTGTGTGGCCCTGGGCCCAGAACACCCATTGGATAGTCAGATTCAGGAGGAGGAGGAGGTGCTCTGATCGTGAGAAGAGTCTCTCTCACCAGCCTGATCAGGCTACCTGTAGGGAAAGAGGAGGCAAGAAGGGCCTGCTGCTAACCGGTTAGCAGCACCTAAAATGTTCATGAATAGTAAAAACGAACCAAGCTTCATCCTCTGATGCAGGTCTATGTTTTTAAGGTGGTTTTCAGAAAAATGTTTAATTTCTAACTGAGGTTTTGATTATTATTTTTTTGGTCCATTTTAAATCAGTCGCCCGTCTGCCAGCATTCCTGCACTTTCACAGATGTGTCTGTGTTTGCTTCCTGTGTCTGAGTCACTCTGAGATTGAGCGGGTGATGATGACTTCAGTTTGTTGCAGAAAATCCCAGTTAACCTCGTTAACCAACCTCACAGCTGGTTTAATCTGCAGTTATTGGAACATAAGTTCTGACCTGGTTCTGTGAGAGGTTCATGTCGATATCTCGTGTGCTTCGGAAGCTCCTCAGGATCAAAACTGCTGTAAAAACGATTACAAGGCATCAACTTGTATTTTCAGCTATCAAGTGATAGCTGAAAATATTCACAATATGAAGATTAAATTCAGCGTGGCTTCATCAGATATAAAAGTTACTGTCATCACTTCAAGATGCTTAGGTGTGCTTGTGTAAAGTCGTGAAAAATAATCTGACCTTTGACCTTTGCAAAGTTGTTTGAAATGACATGAAATCATAGTTCTACTCACGTTTCTTTCTCCTTTTTCTTTGCAGAATCAGACGTTGTGCAAAGGCCTCAATGAACTTCAGAACGGACAGGTAGGTCACATGATGGTGTCTCTAGAGGTGTGCATTCACCTGAACAAGCTCCTCCCACCTCCTCTCTCACTGCTCCTGCTGTAAGTCTGCTTCTTCACCCTGCGGCTCATCTTTGTCCTCTGAGGAGAAACCAGTGAAAATAAAATGCTTCGGCCACATTTCATTGCCGGAGCTGCCGCAGGTGGAGCTGACTTCATGGATGATGTGGATGTGTCGGCGGTGGTTGGTTTGAAGTTGTGGTGTAGTGTAATTGGGCGGTGTGATCTGTGACGTGAGTCCGAGGGTCTCCGGGATGATGTCCTAACTTTCTCTGAAGTTTGTTGATTTTTGTTGATTTTTCCTGCCATTGATAAAAGGCGACAGGAGCTGAAACACAGCCGTAACCGTTTCCTTTGTTGCGCTCGCCGGTGCCGGTGATGCTGAGCGTTTGTGACGGCAGCGAGATGGCTGAGGAATGTGAACAGGCTGAGAGGATGCTTCCAGAGAGCAGAGACAAAAGGAGGAGAGAATAAGAGCTGGAGATTCATTACACGTCAGTTTAATTTCAGAGCTGCGATTCATTACGCGCTGGAAGTCGATTTGGCCGCTCGTTGCGGCGGTTTCTGCAGGCCCTCCCATTTATTTGGTCTCTCAGAGGCGAGCAGGCGGACGAAAGAGAACAAACCTAATTAAGGCCAACCCTGTGATGGGTGGATAATTGTTGTGAGGCATCAGTGTGTGTAATTGAGGCTGAATTTGTTTTACAGGTTGTAAATGTGCGTTTTCCCCCTTTGGATGGTTACTGCAGGACTCGTACACATTTGAACGGTGTCCAATCACCGCCACAGGTGACCGTGGAAGGTCATTAAAGCAGTTTCTTGAAAACCTTCACTCAAGGGGTGCCCACAAAAAATAATCTGTGCTTTCTGCAGAAACACAAACACAGAGTTTACTCCAGCTATTTTTTTCTGTGGTTAAAGACTCTGATTGGCTCCCTCGGTCCTCCCACAGCCAAATAAATGAAGAGTGCAGCGTGGAACACCTTCCCTTGTTACCTCCCCGAGGTATAATTAGACACAGCCAGAGAGGGAGATCAATTCTGAACATCATAATACGACTCAGAGTGAAGCTGTTAAATGATCCTCAGGAGACCTGCTGGAGCTGCTGCAGTGTTTAACAGCCAGCCAGCATCAAGGGAGGCCACGCTCGCTTAATTCCCTCCAAACAGAGACGAGGACGTGTGCCTCCGACCTCGTCTCTGTTTCATCTGCACACTCAACCACAGACTGTATACAAAAGATGGTCATAGACAGCGTGACATCACCCACTTATGTGGACTCCATTTTGAAGCTTCAGTGTTAACTTACAGGCTGCCATTTTATTATTATTTTTGGACAAGTGGGTGGAGTTATCAGCTTACGCTTGCTAACAGAAACTCCCAGTGCTCAGTAACCTGCAGTTCCTCAAATGGCCACTAGAAGCTCCAGCAGTGAGTCAGAATGTTTTTGTAACTCAATATTTTAAGTTGTAACCTTAAAGTTTGCATCATTATTATATTATTATTATCTTTGTCACCTGGGCCATCCTTTTATACAGTTTATAATGCCATCTTTGAATACTAGAAAATAAAATCCTAGTTTCACATACATGTATAACCAGCACATATCGCCCCCTGCTGGTGTATCACTGTGCTGCACAGTACAGCATGATTTGCTTTCACAGTGCTGTGAGCTGTGAGCAGACAGGCGAAGTTTTCTGTTTTTCAACCTTACAAGTTGTCATTTCATTGTAATTAATCGCATTTATCATGATGTCGTCTTATTTTTAGATATTTCAACAATCTAAATATTTTCCGATGTTTCTGCAGCAAATCTACCAAATGTTCAAACTAGGTGTTTGTTCAGATTTAGTCTGGGGTAAGAGGGGATGAAAACCAGCCTGACTGTGAGGAGCTTGCTGAAAGGAAGCACCGGATCATTGATATACTCTGGTGTTAAACACAGAATTCACTCAAACGTGTCTCCAGTTTTAAAATATTGTTGTTTTTTTGTCGTTGTTTTTTTTAACTTTGTGCATTTAATGATTAAAAACCTCGAGTTAACATTGAAAGTGTTTAGAATAGATAAAAGCTCGTTTCTTGATAAAATATAATGCCCACACTCGGCCACATCACTCGGTAAAATTGCTTGGGCGCCGAAGGGTGAAGTGAGCCTTCTCCAGAAAGCTCTGATTGTTCCTTATTGGAGGCTTTTTATCGGACTTGGCAAAGCAGGCAGCCCCCTCTCCTTCTTCTTCTTCTTCCTTTTTTCTTGCCCCTCCGACTGTGACGGTGTTCAGGACTGTGTATTTGCTTTGGGTTGGCGGGTAAATGTTGACACGGTGGCTCTGAATGAAAGCTTTTCCTCGCTGCTGAGAGAACAGAGGACTTTTGGAAGGTAGTTTGAGGCCTCCCATCATAATTTTCTCCCCACACCTGTCCCACTCACGCCGCTGCCATCAGCTGAACTGGTTCTGACCTGCTCTTCCTGTCACTGCAGCCTCTCTGCAGACTCCATCACATCTCACAGATCTGCCTAAACTACTTCCCTCTCCGACTCAATCATTCGCTCCATCCAGCCCATTATGGCGCCTTTAACAAGCGGCCGAGCCACTGAAACCCCCCCTTTTCCTGCTCATCCACAATCACTTCAAATTAGATTGGCGAGTCAATAGAAGAGTCAATATTTAATTTGCTCATAGCAGGTGGTGATTCAGGCGGAGACATGGAGGATCCACCTTGAGGACGCCATCCTTCACATGAAGTGCGACGAACTGATAAAATGCAGCTAGTTAGTTTTAATATTACTCTTATTCACTGTTCCCTCTAAACTGCGCGCGTGCACAATTGCGCACTGCTGGGACGGTCTCTGTGGACAGAAAAAAAATCAAACCTGAATTGAAATTAAAATCAATTTTTTGCAGTGTTAGTCAGTAAGTGACTGGCTGCTCCCATATGGGATTAGAACGATGCCACCTTATCCATAGTCCAGCCAATAATGCGATTCACATTCGTATATAAGCAGCTAATCAACGTCGCTGACAGGCTATGACAGCATCCTTATGTGCCGACACCGGTGTTTTAGCTAGCAAAGGGGCGTGGCTGATGTGGAGAGAAGCCACGTTAATGACAACGTGGACAACCATTGGAGATGTGAGCAGGACAGACGGAACAATTGGCGGAAAAAGTGTGGACTTTATACCAGTTTTTAAATTGTGTTGATAGGCCACGAAAACCAGAGTTATGATAAAAATATTTGCAATGTTTGGTTTTCTTCCTGAACACTATCCTTGTTTATAAAACGGTAAAAACGGCATTTTATAAGGAAAACGCTCGAAAGCCCTCAGCCTGTGAGGAAAAACAAAACCAAAAAGACCCACCCTTTCCTATTGGTGGAAAAATGTACCATGTCAACCAACCAAAAATTGATATGGCAACATGGCATTTAGTTGTTTAGGGAGGGGGGAAGTTTTAGGAGTGACGGCAGTGTTTTGAGATGTGAGAGATTTGCTACGTTTAGCGCAAATCTTGTGTAGTTAGTGTGTAGTGTAGTCAATAGTTTTGTTGAGTGTGTCAGAACAATGAGGCGACTACTGAATGTTACAGGTGTTACAGCAGTGATACATCTCCTGTTGTCAGGCCTGCAGGTATCAGGCTGTTGTTCTCCTTTATCTCATAGTGGACAGAAATTACTTTTTGGAGTGGCACAAATAATTTCAAATTTGATGCAGAACAGCTGATTGTTCTGTAAATAGTTTGAAACGTTTATTTAAAAAAACGCCTTGGCTGCATTTTTAGGTAAACAGCTGCAAAAAACTTTGTTTGCATAACTCAGTTACTTTTTTGAAGAAGTAACTATATAATTATTGCCCAACATTGGTCATTATTTACTGTATTTCGCAGACAGAGAGTTACAGGACTCTCTCCCAGACCACAGACTCATAATACAAGTCAGAGCTTTATAAAAAGAAAAAAAAAGAAAAAGAAAGTTGTGTTTTCAAAATTGGAGTTCAAGTTATTTTTACTTCCAATAGTGTTAACATACTGCACAGGTCATGAACAAGATTTCTTTTTACATTTTCATTGTAAGTGGGCTAAAGCAGTTAATTAAAAGTAGTGTAACATAAATGTAAATGCTGTAATTTGATTATTTTAATAAACCATGTAACTTCGATGGATTCGATGCTGGCGTGACCACAGTGCACACGTCTGATGTTGCTCACAGTGCTCCAAGGGACCGCTCAGGGAGTTTGTGTGTTCGCTCAGACACATGAAAAATTAGAGGGAACATTGCTCTTATTACTTTTTCTGGGTCACAAAATAAAGGTTTAACATATTTTCAGGCGAGAATGTAGCTGTGTAAACTTCAAATATCTGCTCAGTTTATCAAGACACCACATATTTTCAAAAGCACGCTGATGTTTTCAGAGACGTCTGTTACCCACTAGCTCGATAGCTAGCCGGGGTTAAAGGCTCACTAGAGCCCGTGACAACAAATCGGCAAATCGTTTTCAAACCCACCGCCGTCTTTCGCTACTCAGGTTAAACATGATATAAGTCACTTAGATAACTTAAAAAATGTTATTGTTTGGCCTTTTTTAGTATTTTATTTGTTCCTGAGTAAATCGGTTTGGCTGAGATTAAAGTTATAGTTTTTACACAGCTGAATAAACGTCAAGCAGACAGCTGATTATCAGAAGTGTGAGATGCTCGAGAATAAACTCCGGTGTCCTGTTATATTTTAGATAGCAAGGAGTTTATTAAACTTCACCGAAACAATCTGCAAATTTCATTAAAATTTAATAAACTATCATCTTGTCTTTATTTTTAGTTAGCACACACCTTAAACACTTAAAGCTGTAAGCTAATGATAGTTATATAAGAGCAGGTGCTGCTGGTGCAATAAGCTGTACGTTTTACGTCCAGTGGATGATGATCTGATTAGTCGACTAATCGCAAAAATAATCGGTGCAAGTCGACTATC